GGAGCAGTGTCCTGGGAGGGAAGAAAGTGGTTAAACGGTTAAAGGATGATCAGTTGTGTCTGATGCTGCAAATAGATCACTCATGTAAGAGGAGATGGAGAATCACTATGGGATTTGGTAACCTGGAGGTCTCTCTGGAGCTCTTGATAAGAAGAGTTTGGTATTGTATTCCACTTGCTAAGTAACATTTCAGAGGTTTCCACTGGAAGTAAAATGCATATTACAGATTAGTCTAGAAAAACTAGCCACTTTAAATCTTTTTGGAAATGGGATATATCTCATAAATAAGGCAAATTCTGTTTGAGTTTGCTAAAAATCTTGAAGCATGAAATTGACTTTAGCTATGGAAAATGTCAAAATCATTGTCACTTAGCTGTAGCTACATTTATTTAAATTTAAATTATAAAATAGAGCCAAGGTTTCACTGTGTTTCCCAGGCTGGTCTTGAACTCCTGGGCTCACATGATCCTCCTGCCTCAGCCTCCCAACGTGCTGGGATTACAGATGTGAGCCACTGCGCCTGTCCTGTAGCTACATTTAATTCTTATATGAAGGGCTTTCGTTCTTTTTTTCTTTTCTTTTTTTTTGTGATGGGATCTTACTCTGTACCCCAGGCTGGGGTGTAGTGATGTGATCGCAGCTCACTGCAACCTCTGCTTACCAGGTTCAAGTGATTCTCCTGCCTCAGCCTCCTGAGTAGTTGGGACTTCAGGGGTGTGTCACCACACCCGCTAATTCTTATATTTTTAGTAGAGATGGGGTTTCACCATGTTGGCCAGGCTGGTCTTGAATTCCTGACCTCAAGTGACCCACCTTTGTTGACCTCCCAAAGTGTTAGGATTACAGGTGTGAGCCACTGTACCCGGCCAAGGGCTTTGGTTTTTACAGTAATATGGTTAGTTTTTTTCTTTTTTCTCCTAATCAATGCAATAACCACTTCTTTTTTTTTTTTTGAGATGGAGTTTCCCTCTTATTACCCAGGCTGGAGTGCAATGGCGCGATCTCGGCTCACCGTAACCCCCACCTCCTGGGTTCAGGCAATTCTCCTGCCTCAGCCTCCTGAGTAGCTGGGATTACAGGCATGCGCCACCATGCCCAGCTAATTTTTTGTATTTTTAGTAGAGACGGGGTTTCACCATGTTGACCAGGATGGTCTTGATCTGTTGACCTCGTGATCCACCCGCCTCAGCCTCCCAAAGTGCTGGGATTACAGGCTTGAGCCACTGCGCCCGGCAATAACCACTTCTTAAAGCTCAACAGCTCCTTAAGACGTTAGGCACTGGGCTTGGTGGTATGAGCCTGTATTTCCAGCTATTCAGGAGGCTGAGGCAGGTGTATCCTTTGAGTGCAGAAGTTTGAGGCTGCAGTGAGCCATGATTGTGCCTGTGAATAGCCACTGCCCTCTAGCCTGGGCAATACAGTCTAAATAGTACCTCTAATAATAATAATACTGAAGTACAAAAAAGAAAATGGGAAGTCAGGGAGAGAGGAAACATACAAATAGAATGACAGAAGGTATTAATGATGTTGAATAGGACAGGACTTTTGGCCAGGCTTGGTGGCTCATGCTTATAATCCCAGCACTTTGGGAGGCTGCGGCAGAAGGATAGGCTGAAGCCAAGAGTTGGAGACTAGTCTGGGCAACATAGCGAGAATCTGTGTCTACAACAACAATGAAAAAATGGTGGAGTTGTGGTGGCACATCTGTAGTCCCAGCTACTCAGTTATTCAGGAGGCCAGAGTGAGAGGATCGCTCGAGTGTAGGAGTTCAAGGCTGCAGTAAGCATGATTCTGCCACTGCACTCCAGCCGGGTGACAGAGTGAGATACCATCTCTAAAGTACGTAAGACACAAAAGCATAAGAATTTAACAGGAACAGTTCTCTCTCTCTCTTTTTTTTTTTCTAAATAGAGACAGGGTTTCACTATGTTGGCCAGGATGGTATCCATCTCTTGATCCCGTGATCCACGCACGTCGGCCTCCCAAAGGGCTGGGATTACAGGGGTGAGCCACCGTGCCAGGCCTGGGAGCAGTTCTCAAGTGTGGTCCTTAGACATCCGGAGGCCTCCCAGACTCTTTTAGGGTTTTGCAAGGTTGAAACTATATATATTTATATATTTGTGAGACAGAGTCTTGCTGTTGTCACCCAGGCTGGAGTACAATGTCGCAATCTCGGCTCACTGCAACCTCCGCCTCCCAGGTTCCAGCAATTCTCCTGCCTAAGCCTCCTGAGTAGCTGAGATTACAGGTACCCGCCACCACACCCAACTAATTTTTGTATTTTTAGTAGAGATGGGATTTCACCATGTTGTCCAGGCTGGTCTCGAAGAGTGCTCGTACACATGCAAATTGAATGATAGAAGGTATTAATAATATTGAATAGAACAGGAATTTTGGCCAGGCTTGGTGGCTCATGCTTGTAATCCCAGCACTTTGGGAGGCTGCGGCAGAAGGATAACTTGGGACACCTCGGCCTCCCAAAATGCTGGGATTACAGGCGTGACCCACCTTTCCCAGCCAAAACTGTTTTCATAATGAATGAACACTTTGCCTTGTCACTGTGCTCCCATTTGTACCAATGGTCCAGAAGCAAAGGTGAGTAAAGCAGTTGGTGCTAGCATGAATTGGGGTGTTGCTGTGGTCATGGTATTCTTCACCACACACTCTCAGTATCAAGGAAAGAAAAAGTCAGGTTCACCTAAGAATGTCCTTGATGAAATGGTAAAATTCATTAATTTTATGAAGTCTTGACTCCTGAGCACGTCTTTTAATATTCTGTGTGCTGAAGTGGGCAGTCCTCCAAAAGCCCTTCTGCTGCCTGTTGAAGTATAATCGTGTGTTGGGAGGAAGCACGGTTGTTTGAATTGAGAGCTAAATTAATTGCTTTTTGGGTGAAGTACCATTTTTACTTAAACAACTAACAGACAAATGTGTTACTAGATTTGTGTATTTGGCAAGACTTTTCTTGAAAACGAATGAAGTGAGCCCGACACTTCAAGGAAAACAACGCAGTATTTGTTACCAATGATAAAATATGAGGCTTTTGGGTTTTTCCTTTTTAAAAAAAAAAAGTGGCCGAGTGCGCTGGCTCACACCTGTAATTCCAGCACTTTGAGAGGTCGAGGTGTGTAGATCACTTGAGGTCAGGAGTTCGAGACCAGCGTGGCCAACATGGCCAAACCCCATCTCTACTAAAAATACAAAAGTTAGCCAGGTGTGGTGGTTGGTGCCTCTAATTCTAGCTACTCAAAAGGCTGAGGCACAAGAATCACTTGAATCTGGGGGGTGGAGGTTGCAGTGAGGTGAGATCTTGGTACTGCATCCATCTAGCTTGGGTGATGGAGTGAGACTCTGTCTAAAAAACAGAAAAGGCAAAGTAGCAGAGATGATGGAAGGAGGGAGGAAGGGGAGTAAATATGAATTTTCAAGTGAAAATTAGACTTTTGGAATGTTTATATCTACTTCCCAGAGCTCAGTGGCTTCCCAGTGCCTAAAGACCTGACTGAGGAGATGAGTGGTGACATTCACCAATGTGATTTTTGGATATTGCATAATGAAATGTGTCAACATTTGGAAAATCTGCATAACTCACTGAACCAATATTTTTCAAATGATAAATGATGATGTTCCAAAATCACAAACAAGAAAAAGATTGATTCAACGTATAAGATAGACTTGCTTCTAGGCAAGATGGAGTGATAGGGACACCTGATGGCAAATGATGCTGCACATTGTTTTGTGTGGCAGTTAGTCATTTGGGTATCTTCTTTGGACAAATGTTCAGATCTTTTACCCATTTAAAGATTTTTTTTTTTTTTTTTGAGACAATTTTACTTTGTTGCCCAGGCTGAAGTGCAGTGGCGTGATCTCCAGCTCACTGCAACCTCCGCCTTCCTGGTTTAAGCAATTCTTCTGCCTCAGACTCCTGAGTAGCTGCAATTCAGGCACCCGCCACCACACCCAACAGATTTTTTATATTTTAGTTGAGATGGGGTTTCATCATTACGGCCAGGTTGGTCTCCAACTCCTGACCTCAGGTGATCCACCCACCCTGGCCTCCCAAAGTGCTGGGATTACAGATGTGAGCCACCGTACCTGGCCTACCCATTTAAAGAATTCTATTAGTTGTCTTTTTGTTTTCCCTAATTTATTTCTTTAGCATTATACTTTAGCAAGGATTATGGTCAAATGGTCAAATTCCACTCATTTGGCCAGAGACCCTCCTTTAGGTTTTCGCAGAAAACTTCTTCCACATGTAGACCCTAGATTAGCGGTCTCTTTGTTGTTTTGTTGTTGTTGTTGAGACGGAGTCTCGCTCTGTTACTGGGCTGGAGTGCAATGGTGCAATCTCTGCTCACTACAACCTCTGCCTCCTGGGTTCAAGCGATTCTTCTGCCTCAGCCTCCTGAGTACCTGGGACTACAGGCATGCACCACCACGCCCAGCTAATTTTTGTATTTTTAGTTGAGACGGGGTTTCACCATGTTGGCCAGGATGGTCTCAATCTTGTCACCTTGTGATCTGCCCACCTTGGCCTCCCAAAGTGCTAGGATTACAGACGTGAGCCACTGCACCCAGCCCTTTCTATTTTTTTTTTTTTTTTAATAAGAAGGGGTTTCACCTTGATGGCCAGGCTGATCTTGAACTCCTGACCTCTCAGGTGATCCACTCACCTTGACCTCCCAAAGTGCTAGGATTATAGGCGTGAGCCACCGCGCCCAGCCCTTTCTATTGTTAATCTGTGATGTTCTTTTTGAAGATGTCTTATTAGACTCTCCTTCCTCTAGACTTTGCTATAACAGTTCTATGTCCTTTCTAATCTATCCTAAGACCTATCCAGATTCAATAAGTACATTATAAAACAAACTATAGCCTGGTTGCAGTTCCTTGGATATTTATATTTTCTTGCCTCTGTTTAAGCTTAAATATTAAAATTGAGTTCAGCTCCTCAGTTTTCTTATCAGATATTCTCTAAACTCTCTTTTCTGTTTGTCTTACAGCTTCACGGTGATGATATGGCATCTGCCAGCTCCAGCCGGGCAGGAGTGGCCCTGCCTTTTGAGAAGTCTCAGCTCACTTTGAAAGGTGAGTGGCACTGTGTGAAGTCTTTATCCTGTCTATGGCTATGGAAGAGGGGAAATCTAACCACACCTTTGTCTGGAGAACGACATTTTGTGAAATAGCTTATGAATGTAACTGTTTATTCTCATAGGATTGTCATATTGTAGCTGGGACTCTTGAAGAAGAAAGAAAGGAGCAGGAAAATAAGGCATTTTTGACTAAAATTGTCTAAAATGGCGATTTCAGCCCAGGTGCAGAGGCTTATGCCTGTAATTTAGCACTTTGGGAGGCTGAGGCAGGAGGATCCCTTAAGCCCAGAAGTTCAAGACCAGCCTGGGAAACACAGAGAAACCCTTTATCTACAAAACATAAAATAATTAGCCAGGCATCGTGGTGTATACAAGCTGGTCCTAGCTATTGAAGAGATTGAAGTGGGAGGATCACTTGGGCGTGGGAGTTTGAGGCTGCACTGAGCCATGATCGCACCACTGCACTCCAGCCTGGGCTAGAGGAGAGACCCTTTCTCTAAAACAAAACAAAATAAAATAAAAACTGAATAAAATAAAATGGTGCTCTCTTCATGCCCCAGGCTCATTGCTACCTGTACTCACTCCCTCGGTGTTTCATTCAAACTCATGGCTTTAAATGCCACCAATAGGAGATCGCTCCTGTGGGCTTTTCCTCTGAACTCCTAATTTATATCCAGTAGCCAGCTTTTTACCTTCACTTGAATATTTAGTAAACATCTGAAATTTAGCCTGTCTATAGCTGAGCTCCTGGGTGTTTTTTTTCCTCACAGCTGTATCTAACCCATCAGCATATCTGGTTGACTCAATCTTCAAAATGTGTCACTAAAAATTCAGCCACTTCTCACCACCCCTAGGTCCCAGCCTAGTCCAGGCCACCACTGTCTCCGCCTTGGGTTAAGGAGTTCGCCTCCTGTCTTGTCTCTCTGCTTCTGCACTTTGTCCTTCGGTCACACAGCAGCCAGTGATCTTGTTAAAATGTAAACTGGGGCCAGGTGAGGTGGCTCATGCCTGTAATACCAGCACTTTGGGAGGCCAAGGCAGGAGGATCACTGGAGCCCAGGAGTTTGAGACCAGCCTGAGCAACAGAGTGAGACCTCTGTCTCTACAAAAAATCGGAGGCTGAGGTGGGAGAATTGCTTGAGCCCAGAAGTATGAGGCTGCAATGAGCTGTGATGGTAACTCCTCTGCTCAAACCATTCAAGGGTGCTCCATTTCACAGTACAAGTCAAAGCTTCCATGTGGAATGACCCTTCCCTATCCCACATTTCTTATCTCCTGTTGCTGGTTTACATTTACTCTGCCTCAGCCTCCTTGCTCTTCAGTGAATACACTGGGCAGGCGTCTGCCTCTGGGCCTTCACACTTGCTGTTCCTGCTGAGTGGAATGCTTTTCACTTCCTTACTTCTTTAGGCCTTTTCTTGAAAGCTGCCCTCTTTCTGATCCCCTGATCCAAGGCCACCTTCCTCCTTGACTTCATCACATCTATTTTCCTCCTTTCTTTATATTTTCTTCTCAGCCCTTGTCACTATTTAATTTATGTCATTAGTTCCTCTCCTTCAATAGAATGTACGATCCACAGTAACAGAGATTTTTGTCTGCTCTGGTCACTGTGAACTACCCCGGCCACTAGAACAGTCAGTGCCTGACACATACTGGGCCGCCAGTAAATAGTGCCTGAATGAAAGGATGTTGCTTGAGGTTCCATAGCTCTGCAGTCGTCACACATGGGAGAGTAGCTCTCAGTATCTGAGCTCAGGCCCCTCAGCCTGGTCCTCCGGAGGCAAAATTGTATCTCTTGAGAATATTTTTCATGAGTATTTTTGAAATGCAAATGTTATTTATATAATATACTCAGGTAGTTCAAAATTCTTACTTTTTAATTTTATTATTATATTTTGAGACAGAGTCTCCCCCTGTCGCCCAGGCTGGAGTACAGTGGTGCCATCTTGGCTCACGGTGACTTCCGCCTCCTGGGTTCAAGTGATTCTACTGTCTTAACTTCCCAAGTAGCTGAGATTACAGGTGTGTGCCACCATGCCCGACTAATCTTTTTTGTTTGTTTTTGAGACGGAGTCTTGTTCTGTCGTCCAGGCTGAAGTGCAGTGGCATGATCTCGGCTCACTGTAACCTCTGCTTCCCAGGTTCAAACGATTCTTCTGCCTCAGCCTCCTGAGTAGCTGGGACTATAGGTGTGCACCACCACACCTGGCTAAGTTTTGTATTTTTAGTAGAGATGAGGTTTCACCAAGTTGGCAAGGCTGGTTTCAAACTCCTAGCCTCAAGGGATCCACCCACCTCAGCCTCCCAAAGTGCTGGGATTATAGGTGTGAGCCACCATGCCCAGCTATCCTTGCTTTAAGATTAAACTATAGGCTGGGTGTAGTGGCTCATGGCTATAATCCCATCGCTTGGGGAGGCTGAGGTGGATGGATTGCTTTGAGCTCATGCTCAAAGTTTGAGACTAGCCTGGGCAACGTGTAAATACCATCATTACAAAAAATGCAAATATGAGCCAGACCTGGTGGTTCACACCTGTAGTCCCAGCTGCTTGGGAGGCTGAGGTGGGAGGATCACTTGAGCCCCAGAGGTGGAGGCTGTAGTGAGACCAGATCACACCACCACATTGCAACCTAGCCGGCAGAGGGAGACCCTGTCTCAAAAAAAAAAAAAAAAGATAAAACTATAAATTTCTCTCAAAATAAGCTTGGCCCATGCCCAGGAATGAATGACCAAGGACAGCTTGGACATCAGGAGTAAGATGGAGTCAACTGTGTTGGACTTCTCTGTCATAGTTTTGCAAAGGCAGTTTCACAATCAGATAAATGTAGAATTTGGTGCATTCTATAAAACAGCCGGTGAAAGTCTTTAAAAATGATTGTCACCTTGGCAAAGCTGCTAGGATTATACATACAAGAAAAAAACTAAAGTTAAACAAAAGTCATTGCCATGGAAAAGAAGGGAGGACATTCTAGACTTTAAAGGATTAAGGAGATAGTAGCCACAGGCAATTTGCATTTATTGATTAGATACTGAATTGGGGGAAAATGGCTTTAAAAATATGTGTGGGGACTGGGCAGTGGCTCATGTTTGTAATCCCAACGCTTTGGCAAGCTCTGGCGGGTGGATCACTTGAGGCCAGGCAGATTCCTTGAGCCCAGGAGTTTGAGATCAGCCTGGCCACTGGGGCGAAACCCTGTCTCTACAAAGAAAGTAAAAAGTTAGCCAGGCATGGTAGTGCATGCTGGTAGTCCCAGCTACTCTGGAAGATGAGGTGGGAGGATCACTTCAGACGAGGAGATGGAGGCTGCAGTGAGCTGTGATTGTGTCACTGTACTCCAGCCTGTCTACAACCTACTTTGAAATGGTTTACCAAGAAAAAAAGTGTGGATATATACACACACACATACATACATGGAGACATAGATGACATTTATCTATAACCTGTGGTGTCTAATAGAATAGTCACTGTAGTCACATAGAACTATTTACACTTCATTAAAATTATCTGACATTTAAGAATTGTATCCTATTTGCACTAGCCATATTTCAAGTGTCAGTAGCCACATGTGTCTCATGGGAGGGTATTGGACAGCACAGGTGTGGAATATTTCTTCATCACAGAAGTTCTCTTGGGTAGTGATGCTGTAGACACACACACACATACACACACACACATACCAACAGAAAGCAGATGCGGCAAAATGATAACAATTGGTGAAGAGTATACAGTATTTATTGTTTTATGTCAACTTTTTTTTTTTTTTGAGACAGACTCTTGCTCCATTGCCCAGGCTGGAGTGCAGTGGTGCAATCTCAGCTCACTGCAACCTCCACCTCTCGGGTTCAAGCAATTCTTGTGCCTCAGCCTCCTGTGTAGCTGGGACTACTGTGTTGCCCCACCATGCCCAGCTAATTTTTGTATTTTTAGTAGAGACAGGGTTTTGTTATGTTGCCTGGGTGGGTCTCAAACTCCTGGCCTCAAGTGATTCTCAGCCTCCCAAAGAGCTGGGATTACTCGGCTTCAAAATAAGAATACTAGCTGGGCGCGGTGGCTCACGCCTCTAATCCCAGCACGTTGGGAGGCTGAGGTGGGTGGATCATCTGAGGTCAGGAGTTCGAGACCAGCCTGACTAGTATGGTGGAACCCCATCTTTAAAAAAAAAAAGTAAATAAAAAAAAAGAATACTAAATGCCACATACACGATCCTAGTTGGGGACCCACACCAGAACAAATCTTTGTTTCTTTCCTTCTTTCTTGCTCCTTTGCTCTCTTGCTTTTTTTTTTTTTTTGCTATGATGGGCATTGATAGGACAATTGGCAAAGCGTGAATAAAGTCTGTAGATTAGATCTTAGTATTATAAAACATTAAATGTCCTGATTTTGATCATTGTGCTATTGGTTATGTTAGAAAATGTGTTTGTTGGGAAATATACCCAGAAGTGTTTAGGAGTAAAGGGGCACAACGTCTACAGCTTACTCTCAGAGTTTCAGGAAAAAATGTGCATGTGTATGAGCACAGAGACTCCTTAACTTACAGTGGGGTTACATCTTGAAAAATCCATCCTAAGTTGAAAATATTGCAAGTTGAGAATGCATCTGACACTCCTAACCTGCCGAGTGTCATAGCCCAGCCTAGCCTACCCTAAATGTGCTGAGGATACCTGAATTAGCCGAGGACACTTCCATAACCTGCAGCTAGGTGAGATGATCTGGAAAAGCAGGATATGGCCGAGTATCAGTTGTTTGCCCCATGATCACGTGGCTGACTGGGGCTTGGGCTCACTGCCTCTACCCAGAGTACTGCATGTGACTATTCGGCAAAAAGACCAAAATCCAAAATTTAAAGTGCGGTTTTTTACTGAATGCATATCCTTTCCCACCATTGTAAAGTCAAACGCCCTAAGTCGTGCACCATTTGTAGTCTCCATTTTTTAAAGGCATGTAGATCCATGCTCTTACCACCAGGTGGCCTCAGTTAACCTTGGTCCGTGCGTTAATCACTGCGCCTCATTTTTCTACCCTGGGCCATGCCTCAGTATCACAAAATTTTATTCCTAGTACTGTCCCCTTGTCGCTTCTGAATCTTAGCCACAGCTGATTTTTAAAAATCTCTTGACTTCCTCCCTTCTGTTCCTTTGGGGCCTGGAGAAGACAGTTACTGCTATAAAAAATCTGAAGGTGAATTTGGCCTTTGCTGAGTTGTAGACACCACTGTAGGACTGTCACCTTTGCGAAGAGTCTGGAAGGGAGAGATTTGCTTATACTCAAACAGGGAAGCTCAGGCTAGCATAGTCTTGCCATCATGGGCAAGGGAGCATCAGTTGTATCTCTGATTTGGGGCAGGATGGGAGATGTCTAGATGTGTTTCACCCTGGCGACCTGGTGTTTCCACCTTGGGTGATGTACACTAGGATGCCTATCTAGCTCCTCATCATGATGCTTGCTAAGCTCTGTGCTCCGTGAGTCAGTCTTTGGTTTGCTGGTCCCAAATGAGTATCAGAATTGTTGCCACATGAGGGCTATGAGCAGAAGTAGAAACATAGATGGCTAACGACACATGGAAAAAATATTCAACCTCAGCGGCCCACCTCGGCCCTCCAAAGTGCTGGGATTACAGGCGTGAGCCACCATGCCCAGCCAATTTGTAACTTTTAATGGAAATAAAGATAATCTTCTTAATATTTCACATTAGATAAATTAAATCTAATATTCCACAGAGCAACAATAGAACAAATAAGTAAAGTTCAATAATGATATGCAGCATGGTGTGGAATCAGGCTGGCTAGGTGCACAGTCTGGCTTGTGGCTCCCTGGCTATATAGCCTGGGGCAATGACCTCGCCTCTCAAGCCTGTTTTCTTCTGGGTAAGATGGGGTGATAATGTATTCCCTGCCTCATGGGTTTGTTGTGAGAATTCAGTTAGAAAATGTATGCACATGGCAGAGTGTCTTTAGTAAGTACTCATAAAATCTTAAATATTATTTTTATTGCAATTAAAATTTATAAATTGGCCATGCATGGTAGCTCACGCCTGTAATCTCAGCACTTTGAGAGGCTGAGGCAGGTGGATCACCTGAGGTCAGGAGTTTGAGACCAGCCTGGCCAACATGGTAAAACCCCGTCTCTACTAAAAATATAAAAATTAGCCGGGTGTGGTGGCATGCACCTGTAATCCCGGCCCGAAGGCTGAGGCAGGAGAATCACTTGAACCCAGGAGCGGGAGGCTACAGTGAGCCAAGATCGCGCCATTATACTCCAGCCTTGGCAATGAGAGCGAAACTCTGTCTTACATATATATAATATTTATTTATTTATTAGATACGGGGTCTTGCTATGTTCCCAGGCTGTTCTTAAAACTCTTGAACTCCTGGGTTGAAGGAGTCCTCCTGCCTTGGCCTCCCAAAATGCTGGGATTCCAGGCATGAGTTACCATGCCCAGCCTTAGCTATTATCTCACTATGTGTTTTGTTTTGTTTGTTTGCTTTTTTTTTTTTTGAAGACGGAGTCTCACTCTGTCGCCTAAGCTGGAGTGCAGTGCCATGAGCTCGGCTCACTGCAACCTTAGCCTGCCAGATTCAAGTGATTCTCCTGTCTCAGTCTCCCGAGTAGCTGGAACTACAGGTGCCCATGCCCATCTAATTTTTTGTATTTTAGTAGACATGAGGTTTCACCATTGCTCAGGCAATCTGCCAGCCTTGGCCTCCCAAAGTGCTAGGATTACAGGCATGAGCCACCGCCCCTGGCCTACACTATGTGTTTTTAACTCATGTGATTTGTAAAAGTGAAAAAGTGTAGCCCTCTGGTAAATTGAATATACTCTGGTGTAGCCCTGATGGTGGGGGCTCCATGGGTTTACCTTTCTTGGAAAGGAATGGGCAGTTTTAAGAACTTTAAAAAATGTTCATGTCGGCTGGGCGCGGTGGCTCACGCCTATAATCCCAGCACTTTGGGAGGCTGAGGCGGGTGGATCATGAGGTCAAGAGATCGAGACCATCCTGATCAACAAGGAGAAACTCTGTCTCTACTAAAAATACAAAAATTAGCTGGGCATGGTGGTGCACGCCTGTAGTCTCAGCTACTCGGGAGGCTGAGGCAGGAGAATTGCTTGAGCCCAGGAGGCAGAGATCGCGCCATTGCACTCTACCCTGGGTAACAAGATCGAAACTCCGTCTCAAAAAAAAAAAAAAAAAATTAAAAATGTTCATGTCCTTTGGAGGAATACTCAAGAAAGGCATGCGGATGTATACTTTCACAATAATTTCCCCAGAGTGAATAATTGCAAGAAGTCTATTCAAAAGTGAAAGAATATGGGCTTGTATTATAGTCGTTTAAGATTGACTTATGGGGGTGAAGAACTTTTAAACAATTGAAGAAATAAAAGATGAAAATCTAGAAGGCAATTTCCCAATGATAAATTGGTAATGATGGTCACCGGCGGTTATCCCAGTGGTTTCAGGTTAGGGATGATTTTTTTTCTTATATTTCATATTGTTTTGTGTGTGTGTACTCACCTTTCTTTAAAAAGTTTTTAAAATCAAGACAAAACAAAAGTTACTGATTTATTTTTTTAAAGAAACAATGAAAAAGAGCTGGAACATCTGCCACAGGGGGGCATCTGGGAGCCCTGGGACTCATCTTCGACTTTTTCGTTCTTTCTCACCCAGTGGTGTCTGCAAAGCCCAAGGTGCATAATCGTCAACCTCGAATTAACTCCTACGTGGAGGTGGCAGTGGATGGACTCCCTAGCGAGACCAAGAAGACTGGGAAGCGCATTGGGAGCTCTGAGCTGCTCTGGAATGAGATCATCATTTTGTAAGCAAAAGCTTCTTTTTGCGGGCAGTAAGATGGGGGAAAGAGAGAGGGTGCTCCGAGGGGGTTGTGGGAGGTACAGATTCCCTGCGGTACCTCTGACTTTTTCTGCCTGTGGTACCCAAGATGCCTCTCTTTAGGTGTTCCTACACCATTGAGCTCATAGAGCGTTCATTATTAGCTAGAGGGTTACAGGGTCAGCTTTGAGGGGGGCAGGGATATATGTGGGTATCTGTCTGTTTTGATTCCCCCTCCCCAAGATGTCAGCAGTTTAGTTTAACTGTTTTCTTCTAAGTTATAGGAATGATTGCTTGGATGTAGTGAATCAGGTATCTGTTTCCCAGGAATGTCACGGCCCAGAGTCATTTGGATTTAAAGGTCTGGAGCTGCCATACCTTGAGAAATGAACTGCTAGGCACCGCGTCTGTCAACCTCTCCAATGTCTTGAAGAACAATGGGGGCAAAAGTATGTATGATGAATGGGATGCCGACGTGATTCATTGGTGGGGATGGGAGGACCTGGCAGATGAACCTGATGCTGGAGATTTCCCCAGGACTAGGGGCTGTGGTACCTCTGTTCTCCTTGGATGCCGTCTTTGGAGTTTTAGGAAGGCTGAGGACTCCTCTCTACCTCCTTGCAGAGTTTAGCTCTCTTTGCCCAGGTCCTCTATTAGTGGGATGCAGTGGTGTGTTACCCTTGATCCTTCCTTAGGGACTGGAAACTTTCTGCTCCTCTTCCCAATGCGGGAGATGTGTAATATGTTGAATGAAACTGTCAAATGCCTCTAACCTAAATCATTGCTTTTCTAGCCTGAACCCTAAAACAGAACAAAGGAGCTGTGTGCATGTGTGTGTATGTGCATGTGTGTGTGTGTGTGTGCACGTGTGTGTCTGTTTGGGACAGTGTTACAAGTAGTGCCCTGTGCTTACTCGGCATTCAGTAAACATTTACTGGACGTTGGAATGTGATGGAAACGCCGTCTGAATTAGCCAGCATGCCTGTACATCATGGACGTATAAATCCTCATCTATTTATTGCTGTTTGTGGTCAGTGGCATGGCCCATGGCTGTGGTTTTGGACCCTCCTTCATAAAGACTCTATTCAGAGCGGTACCATATGTGGCGAATGAATGGCATGGAAAGAAAGGCTCCTTTTTCTCTCGATGTCTACAAAGTATTTTCTGAAAGTGGATGTAGCTTAAGAGAGTGGCGGGGGTGGGGAGCGTTGAGTCCCAGTGAGCGTGTTGCATTGATTTAAGAGTCTTTCTTTTCTTTCCAAGCCTGTCCTTTTAAGCGATGGGCCACTTGAAAGGTCTTTGAGCCTCCTCTAGTCTTTTCCTTTCTGCTGGGTACATAGAGATGTGCTGAACCCACTTTGGCCTGAGGAATTGTTGAAGACCAGAGATGCGCCTCCTTTTAATCCTGCAGAGAACTCCCTGATTGCTTTGTCTTCTGAGTTGGTGTTTATTTTCCTGAACACTAGCCAGCCTTTTGTAATTTGATCATAAGGGAAAATTCTATTTATTGCGATACTTGGGAAATATACTTGAGGATAGCCTCACATTAGGATGCAGCAACCAGCATGAGCGTCCTTTTTTCTTCTTCATTTGCCCAGCCAGTATACTTTTGCTTTTGACTAGCAAAAGTTATTATAGAGACTGTAAACTATGGAAAAGCACAGATACACAAATAAAACAAAATAAAATAAAATTTCCCTGTAGAGCACGGCACCCAGTGATAGTTGTTTTTTCTTTCCCTTTTTTTTTTTGATGGAGTCTTACTCTGTTGCCCATGCTGGAGTGCAGTGGCATGATCTTGGCTCACTGCAACCTCCACCTCCCAGGTTCAAGTGATCCTCCTGCCTCAGCCTCCCAAGTAGCTGGGATTACACATACATGCCACCACACCCAGCTAATTTTGTAGTTTTAGTAGAGGTGAGGTTTCACCATGTTGGCCAGACTGCTCTCGAACTCCTGACCTCAGGTGATCCACCTGCCTCGACTTCCCAAAGTGCTGGGATTGCAGGTGTGAGCCACTGCACCTGGCCTGATAGTTATTGTTAATGTTTTTTTAAAAGCAATTTTACTACTGGGCAGGGTGGCTCACGCCTGTAATCCCAATACTTTGGGAGGCTGAGGTAGTGGATCACCTGAGGTTAGGATTTTGTGACCAGCCTGGCCAACGTAGCGAAACCCCATCTCTACTAAAAAAAATACAAAAATTAGCTGGGGATGGTGGTGGGTGCCTCTAATCCAAGCTACTCAGGTGGCTGAGACAGGAGAATCACTTGAACCCAGGAGGTGGAGATTGCAGTAAGCCGAGATCGTGCCGTTGCATTCTAGCCTTGTGACAGAGCAAGACTTAGCCTCCAAAAAAAAAAAAAAATTACTTTAATTAATTATTATTATTATTATTTTTGAGATGGAGTTTCGCTGTTGTTACCCAGGCTGGAGTGCAATGGCACGATCTCAGCTCACCACAACCTCCGCCTCCTGGGTTCAGGCAATTCTCCTGCCTCAGCCTCCCGAGTAGCTGGGATTACAGGCATGTGCCACCATGCCCAGATAATTTTTTGTATTTTTAGTAGAGACAGGGTTTCACCATGTTGACCAGGATGGTCTCCATCTCTTGACCTTGTGATCCACCCCCCTCGGTCTCCCAAAGTGCTGGGATTACAGGTGTGAGCCACCTCGCCTGGCCTAATTAATTAATTTTGATTTGTATTTATTTATTTGTTTTGAGACAGGTTTCTTACTTTGCTACTCATGCTGGAGTGAAGTGGTGTGATCTCGGCTGACCACAGCCTCTGCTCCTGGGCTCAAGTGATCCTCCCACTTCAGCCCCCACCCCTAGTAGCTGGGACCACAGACACATGCCACCACGGCCTGGCTGTATTTAATATTTTTAGTAGAGAGTCGGTTTCACTATGTTGCCAGGATGGTTTGGAACTCCTGAGCTCAAGTGATTCATCTGTCTTGTCCTTCAAAGTACTAGGATTACAGGTGTGAGCCACTGCATCTGACCATTTAATTAATTTTTAAATTGAGATGGGATCTTGCTATGTTGCCCAGGCTGGAGTGTAGTGGCTATTTATAGGCATTATCACAGCTCACTGTAGCCTCAAGCTCCTAGCCTAGAGCCATCCTTCTGCCTCAGCCTCCTGAGTAGCTGGAACCACAGGCAGGCACCACTACACTTGACTATTGTTAACATTTTGATGTCTACATTTTTGAGCTTTTTAATTTAATCTTTTAAATAATTTTTTCCCCTCAGGTCCTTGTTCTGACGAGCTTTTTATCATGTTTGTAGACATATATTGATGTTTATGACATCAGTGAAACGAAATTGAGATTATACATGAACATAATATTTTGCAATATGACTTTTTCTCTTTAAAAATGTACCCATACATATATATTTTTTGAGATGGAGTCTTGCTCTGTTGCCCAGGCTGGAGTGCAGTGGCGTGATCTCAGCTCACCACAACCTCTGCCTCCCCTGTTCCACGATTCTTCTGCCTTGGCCTCTCGAGTAGGTAGGACTGCAGGCGCATGCTACCATGCTTGGCTAATTTTTGTATTTTTAGTAGAGACAGGGTTTCACCATGTTGACTAGGCTGGTCTTGAACTCCTGACCTCGGGTAATCTGCCTGCCTCGGCCTCCCAAAGTGCTGGGATTACAGGCATGAGCCACTACACCAGCCAGATTTTTAATTTTTCAGACTGAATACTATTTCAGTGTATGGGATATTATGCTTCTCTATTCATCTGTTGGTGGACACGTGGTTTGTTTCCACGATTTGGCTATGGTGAATCAATGCTTCCATAAACATGGGTGTACAAATACCTCTTTGAGTCCCTGCTTTCATTTTTTTTTTGAGAGGAAGTCTTGCTCTGTTGCCAGGCTGGAGTGCAGTGTCGTGATCTAAACTCACTGCAACCTCCGTCTCCCAGGTTCAAGTGATTCTCCTGCCTCAGCCTCCCGAGTAGCTGGGATTACAGGTGCCTTCCACTGCACCCAGCTAATTTTTTGTATTTTTAGTAGAGCCGGGATTTAACCATTTTGGTCAGGCTGGTCTTGAACTCCTGAACTCAGATAATCCTCCTGCCTTGGCCTCCCAAAGTGGTAGGATTACAGGCATGAGCCACTGTGCCTGTCCTAATTTTTTTTTTCCCTGCCTATCTTTTTCTTGCAATATTCAAGTCTGTGCTTTTAGTTCTTTTGGGTGTATACCCAGATGTGGGATTGTCAGATCATACTCTAATTCTATTTTAGTTTTTTAAAGATGGGTCTTGTTGTGTTTCCAAGGCTGAAGTGCAATTGGCTGCTCTCAGTGTATATCAGCCTTCATCTCCTGGCCTTGTCATCTTGCCTCAGCCTCCTGAGTAGCTGGGACTATAGGCATGTGCCACTGTGCCTGGCAACTGTTTTTAATTTATTGAAGAGTTGCCATACCATTTACATAGCTATTTCTCCATAAAATGTAAGAGTATGGCTTTACTGATTCTCCTGAAATTTAATTTGATGACTGCCTGGTAGTAGTCTGTCATACAGCTATGTGAAAATTTAAGATTGAACATTTGGGTAGTTTTCAATATTTTACAGTAGTAAATAATGCTGTGAGAAACTTTCAAGATTATAAATCTTTGTGCTCACTGCTGAAAATTTATTTGGGATCCATTATTCAATGTGGACTCGCTAGGTTTAAACATTAACAAGGTTTTTGACACATGTTGCTAGGTTACCCTCCAGAGAGTTCTACAGGTTGAGCATCCCTAAAATGAAAATCCAGAATTGGAAATGCTCCAACATCCGACACTTTTTGAGCGCTGACACACCACAAGTGGAGAATTCTACACTTAACACCTTTCCTTTTTGATAGTTAAGTGTACACAAACTTTGATACATAAAATTGTTAAGAATATTGTAGGGCTGGGCACGGTGGCTCTTGCCTGTAATCCTAGCACTTTGGGAGGCTGAGGCAGGTGGATCACGAGGAAAATTGAGACCATCCTGGCAAACATGGTGAAACCCCATCTCTACTAAAAATACAAAAAATTGTCCAGGTGTGGTGGCATGTGCCTGTAGTCCTAGCTACTCAGGAGGCTGAGGCAGGAGGATCACTTGAACCTGGAGGCACAGGCTGCAGTGAGCCAAGATTGTGCCACTGTATTCCATTCCAGCTTAGTGACAGAGTGAGACTCTGTCTCTGAGGGGGAATATATACATATATATATGTATGGTATAGGCTGGGCGCAATGCTTCACGCCTGTAATCCTAGCACTTTGGGAGGCTGAGGCAAGTGGATCACCGATCACCTGAAGTCAGGAGTTGGAGACCAGCTTGGCCAACATGATGAAACCCTGTCTCTACTAAAAATACAAAAATTAGCTGGGTATGGTGGCAGGTGCCTGTAATCCCAGCTGCTTGGGAGGCTGAGGCAGGAGAATTGCTTGACCCCAGAAT